ATGCCAACCAGCGAGCCAGTCAGCCATCAGCCAGGCTAAACTGAGCTGAGCCGAAGCTAAGCGTTTGAACGACTAAGCAAGCAAGCAAAAGTCAAATACAAAAGCCATACTAAACACATAGCATATATAAGTATGAATGTAAATATGTATATATGTATGTATTGCAAGTGCCATGCCATGCCAGTGCAGGCCAACCAATAAATTGTTTGCTGTTTGATTGCATAACTTCTGGTTTTCTGCAATTAATATTGTGCCAACAAAAACAACACTCGGACAGGGGTGTTCAACAACACAAACAGTAACAATACAACAGCATAGTCACAACATCAATTATAGCAAAACAAGAAACTGAAAAAAAAAAAATAATTATAATTTTGAAAAAAAAAATTTGAAAAAATAAAATGCAAGAAATTTCCAACCTTCAGCAACAACAAAAAAGGTAGTCAGTCATCAGCATATCCAAAGAGAATACAAATAAATTAAGTAGTCGAGGCGAGTTGCAGAAAAAAAAACAGACAACAACAACAAAAAACAGCTACAGCAAATATACGCCACCAACGAGTAGGAAGCGTTGGCAGGCAGGCGGCAGCGTGTTTCAAAGTGAAAAAATTAAGAATTTTTGTGTGTGTATGTGTTTGTGTAAGAGTGCACATTGTATACGACGCGGCAAATCTTGTTTCACATTTTCTGCGTGCTTTTATTTTCGCACATTGCTGTTGTTTTTGTATAAATAATTCATATGCGTTTGAGCGCAGAGCGCAGCGTTCTGGCGCAGTGTTGCGCAATCTAAATGTCATAATTGCAAATAAATATAGATATTTTTATATACGTATGTACGTCCGTCTGTATATTAACGATCTTGTTTTAATTTTTATGTGCATGTGCTTGTAATTAAATTCAAAACGCGGAGGCGTATGGAAAAAATTATATATCTAATAACGCAATATGCCGCATTGTAACGGTTTTTTCTTCCGTTCAATTTTAAACACATTTTTATATCGTTATGCTGATTTTCATATTGGAATCCCGAAATTTCGGGATATGATTTTCGGGATCAAAACTTCGAGCCCATTTTTTAAACCCAGCTCGTCATTTCAGAGTAATAAGATTCCCGAAACGGATTTCGAAAACAGGTGTTTTTCGAAAGTTTGCGATTTTAGAGGCTTTTTAAGAAACTTCCAAAGATTTCTTCAACCATTTTATTGTCAAGCTCATATAAATACTATTCATATTCTCTTCTAAGGAAGAAATGTTCAATAAATTTCTTGAAAATCCAACTTTTTATAAAACATGCTACAGCAATCATAATTACTGCTAGTACTTCTAGCTAGTACTTCCGCCTACATGCTTTAACAGCCTGTGACTTTGCTGATATTTTATGCAAAAACATTTTCCACCGCCCTATAACCCTCAACTGCGCCCTTACAAAACATCACGACTTTATAGGTTTTTACATAGAAATTATTAATTCTTGTTGCTTTTGTTGGTGTAAAGCGCGCGCGTGCACACACACACATACAGGCTGCACTCACTTTGCGACGTAAGCTTTCCGCAATCTGAGTGAATCTCACGATCGACAACAAACGGCGCGCAGCAACGCGTAACGAAGGCAACAACAACACGAGCAGTCAAAGGTACTCGTACAAGCACACACGAAATCATTGTAAACGTTGACATGTTGTTGTTGTTATATGTACCAGTTGTTGTCATGCTGCTTGCGTTGCCGTGTACGCGCGTATGTATGTACACCAAAGCGCATAACTGCCGCTTGTTGGTGTTTGTGTTATTGTTGTTGTCACTGCAATGACAGTTGTAGCTTGTGATGTTGTGCAAAACGACAGCAACAACAAGTACAAGCAAACAGCCAGCACAGCGTGCGCCAACAAAACGCGCCCCGCCGCAGTGGGGACGATGCGATGCGGTGCGACGCGGCGCGGCGCGTTACGCTGGGACTGTCGCGTTTCACATCCGCATCTGCGATTCGTTTCATTCTGAATTTTTTTGCGGATCGCTTGGATGCTTTTTCCTATTTATTTTTTCTATTTCACATGCATATATACAAATATACATGCGTATATATGCAAACGCGTGTGTGTCATTGCATCGCGTTATGTGTATATAAGTGTGTGCGTGCGCCGATTGCGATCTGCGTCGCTACTTGTTTGTATGCGTTCGTGTTCCGTTCGCATTGGCCTTGGCCTTGAATCAAACAGATTTGTCGTTGTTGTTGTTGTTGCATGGGCTCTTATTATTCATTTTCGTTGTGACTTCGTATTTTTTTCGTTTTCGTTTGCATTTCGCTTTGGTGTTTCGGATTTTTTGCTTTGGCGCGCACTCCACTGCACCGCTCCACCGTGCCACGCCGCTCAGCGCACGATCACCTTACGCGCGAGCTTTTATGAAAATTCTGTTTGCATTTTTCCCCTGTCAATATATTGTTAAGCACATTGTTGTTGTACGCTCGCCCGCATGCTGCATACTGTGCGAAACGGTGTTTCTTTTATTTTTTTAATCTTTTCGTTGTATTTGTATGACGATCATGCCCAGCATACGAGCGCGAATGTGCAAAAACGTACTGTATATGTGTACACACATATGTAAGTACACAATTTTTAGTTTTTTGCATTTTCTATATTTGCATTCGTATGCGTGCGCGTGTACTCAACATTTGCGCATTCTTTGCCGCATTAGTTACGGTGATCTGCTTTGCTGACGCGTTGCAAAATAGCGAAACACTCGCCGCAAACTGTCGAACACGGCAGTGAGTTGAAAGTAAAGGAAGCTGCTGGGGGTGCAATTGTTTGGGACACTTGGTTTTTCTAAGATGTTTTCTAAATTTTTAAATTTTCTTTTTTAAAATTGAGTGTTTGTTCTTTATTATTTTCCGAAATTTTAGGTTAAATAGCCTTCAGTCAATTAGTTAACACAATTAAGTTGTTAATTGAGACTCAATTTAGCTTGTACAATCAGAGCTTCAGTAAGTTGAAAAATAGTTTTTAAGTACGGCTACGATTTGCTTATGAATATTTCCGTGTATATAAAATATATATCAAATTAAGTTAAATTATTAATTTAATACCTATACAATCTTTCTCAACCGATAAAATTGCGTATTGACTCTAATTTGGTCGTTTCCTCAACTCTCTCTCTTTTTCTCTCTGATTAGAAACACTTCACAGCGTTGTATGGGAGTTGAGCACTCTTTGGAAACTTTTGTCGATTAAATATTGTATTAATTGGGCAATTAATTATTGCTCCACTCTATCGTCAATTAAAAACAAGTAAAGACTGAAATTATCTTAACCGCTCAATTAAGAGCCGCATCAGTTCCAAAACTACTTTACATAAATTTACTTATTTTTTCAAAACCTCTAATTTCCATAATAATAAAATACGAACGAAATATGATCGAAAGGAAAAGCATTATTATTAATAGAACTATCAATATGCAATTGATAATCATAAAATCTAATGAATATACTTGTATATATTTACCTATATGTATGTATGTATATATTTTAAAAATTTATATATTTTAAAAATTTATACATTTTAAAAAGTCAACTTCAATTAATGTGTATGAGCAGCTGAGATTCATGAAGATCGTAGCTATAAATTTTCTCATAACGGATTTATTTGGTGACCCAGTAAGAAAAAATTATGATCCTAGTATAAGTGCCAGGTCAGAGCGGAATCGCAAGTAACTACAAAGCTGACGAACTGGCAAGAAATGGCACTCTAGCCGCTCTATTAGTAAATCACTCTATTCTTGCGTTCACCTACGGGCTAGCTGACGGGAGTTTGGACATCACCGGACTCCTATTGGTTCTTGCGCTGTCGTAAAATCCTTTCCTTTTACCCAAAGTCAATCGCAAGAAAACAAGTGAGCTCTTTGTACTTAGCAAGGTTTGACTCTTCCTAGTTTTTTGGGTTTTAACAGTCATTGCCTTATCGGTTTCCATGCTGTAGGGCGATATTGTTGTATCAGATTCCAAACGAAAAATTTAAAACTATACTTTTGGCAGAACAAAAACGATTCTAAACGAAACAGAATATTTTTTAGCTAACTACTTAAGATCATAAACCAAATTTGAGGGATGATTTTGTATCCAATAATTTTGGTAGTATTTTTGTTTTGGTAATATTACCTAATTTTAAACTCAAGGATGTTCTTAGACTAAATATTAAGTACTTTGAGTTCAAGTTAAGTACCTCACAAGCTCTCCTTATTTAAAACTTACTTCAAAACTGTTTTTGGAACAGTCTTATGGAAAGAAAATAAGGCTTAATTTTGCCATTAAGAATTTTTATAACATTTCCGTCCCGTATATTTTCCTACAGAGCATTTTAATGAACGCAGCACGCAAACACGCCGCTATTCGCCTTCGCCGTCGCTTTAAAGGGTGTGTGTGGTATAATTGCAGTTGGCAAAATTAGCCAACGCAATCATTATGTAGCTAGTATCTGCGAATTGGCATCTCTCAAATTAAAAGACAACGCCGACAAATGCTAGATAATACAAAAACAACAAACAAAATCACATATGCATGAAAAGTGGTCGGGGAGAGCAGGTGTTTGGAGCGAAGTATGTAAATGCGGTACGGCAAAACAGCCGCAAGTCGTTAGGGAGACAGACAATCAATGAAGTGATTGACAGCGCACAGACATTAGGCTAACGGTGTCGGAGGTGATGAAGCAAGCGCTAGCTGATTATATGCAATATAAAGGTGTGTTTGCAAACTAGCACTGAACATTTTGCAATCTTTGCATTTTGGATTTTTCATATTTCAAAATTATTATTTTTAACTTTCGAAATTTTTTAAAAATATTTTTGAAAAACCGTTTTCAATGCCAAAACATTGAATTAGTTGCTGAACGCAGCTGGTTGGCAAAGCGGAAGTGCCTCTACACTTGCAAGCAGCAGTTGCAATGCTAATTTTAGAAAATTTCAGAAATAAACAAATTATTTAATAAAATATGGCGAAAATATTTCCTTTGTTGACTCACCTTAAACTAAAACACTCGCCAGTCGGGCGTTACCCGTCCAGCAATCCATAAGATAAAAATTTTGCTTGGCCGTGTTGCCGGTTTTTTTGTTGTTGCTGTGTTGCTTTTGTTGTAGTTTTCTGTAAGATGTAACCGTTACGCTTTGCCGTTGTTATGATTTAGGTGCTAAACTGTTATTTTATATATTTCTTTACACAAGACAAATGATCTGCTGCATGAAATTTTGTTGCTTTTTTTACAGAGAACACACCTGTTGTTTTCACTTTTTTTGTATAAAATAATAACTGTTGTATTTGTAATTAGTTTAAATTTTTAATGGTTTTCATTTGCACATAAATGTAAGCGCGAGCTTTTATAAATTCACAATTTGTGAGAAAAAAGAAACAAAAACCGCAAGAAAGTAGTGTATTTGACATATATACGATAGTGTGAGAGAGAGAGCACAAGAGACATACGTTGTTGTAAGCAACTTTTATTTATGTTTTCGAGTTTTATACGACTTTAGAAAGCTTTTGTGATTTTGATTGTTCCGAAAACGAGCTTTCACTTTTTTAACAAAAATATAATATGAAATGAGCTTTTGATATGAAACAAGCTTTCATTATTTAAGTTTCACTTGTAAGAAATTTCACTTTGTATGAGCTTTAACTACAAAAGAGCTTTCACTTCAAAATAACTTTTACTTCAAATGAGCTTTCACATCAAATCAGCTTTCACTTCAAAGAAGCTTATACGAAAAAATTATTTTATTGCCAAAAATCTATAACTAAGAAGAGCTTTCACTTTAAATTTGCTGATTCTTGTATATTTCGTTTGCCAACTTTTAAATTCCGTACAGTACACGCTTTCACTTTGATTGATTTAATTTTTGGTTAATGCCGAGAAGTTAAATTTTTCATAGCCACTTTTTATGTTTTAAATGTATTTAAGTCCTTGAGAGTTTTCTTAAATAATTTTATACATTTAATTTGATTTGTTATTAGCAGTTTTTAGACATTTTTTGGTTATTTTTACGCTTAGCGGTTAAATTTTCCACAGTTGTATTCGAGTATGTTGTAAAGAAGGGAAGAGGCCAAAGTTGTTTATGTTTTTACCGAAAGTTTAATGCTTGTTTATTTGTATGGGGTGTTTGTTGTTTCTCTTTGAATGTTTAGACGTTGAGTTTAAATTTGGAATTTTGACTTTTTTTTGGGTTTGGTATGAATTTTCTGCAAATAGAAGGGAAAAATTTAATAGTTTTATTTTTTTGATTCGAAATATTAATAAAATTAAATATAAGAATATTTTAATCGTTTTTTATATAATTAAATTATATAACAAGTTTTTAGTTTTAAGCACATAAATTGCTTTCAGTACATCCTTTCAAATGCCAAATTCTTTGAAATAAAGACTAAAATTTTTATTTATCAAAAATCAGCTTTTTTTATAACCATATACTTGTATATAAAATTTTCACATAATTTGTTTTCAGTTTTAAATAGATAAACCGCTTTCAGTACATCCTTTCAATTGCCAAAATCTTTCAAATATATACAAAAATTTTTTTTTGTCAAAAATGAGCTTTTTTATATAATTAACCATAACTAAAAATGTTCGACTTAATTGGTTTTCAATTTTAAGCACATAAAATACTTTCAACTTCAGTTTTTCTAATGTAAAACACTTGCAATCATTATTTTCCCGCAAAACTTGCCTAAACAACTTACAGCTTAAAGCTCCACTTGTGAAGCTTTCATTTTAATTTCACTTGCCATCAGCTTTTCTGCGGCATACACTATTTTTAATGCAAAATTTAAGATGTTTACTTTCAATTGGCATTTAAAATTGCCGTACTTAAATGCGCAGCACCACCAACAGCCTGTCCCGCCCCGCGCTTGGCGGCGCTTCGCTTAATCCACGTGAATAGCTTGCGCGCAAATATTTCACAAAGTTCAAGTTTATGTAGCGCTCTACTCACATAAAAGGCAACAATAACAACTGAAAGTGTGCACTAACATAGTTGCTGGCGCCGTGACGGTGGGCGGTGGGTGCATGCATTTTGGGGGCGGCGGACTGGGGCGATTTGTGTTGCAAGCGCAGCATTCATTCAGACGACCACAGAAGCACAACTTCAAAACACTGAGCTAACCATGTCATCAACCTCGTTGATGCAACAAAAAGTTGAAAGAATAGCTAAGAGCGCGTTGAGCGCCACCACCGTCAAATGAGTGCGCTAGGGGAGTTGGGTGGTGAACAAGCGCAATGCCAGCAGTGAAAAGTTAGAAAGAGTAAGTGAGCGAGAACGGAAGAAAAGCCGGAAAAAGTTTTTAAAAAGTTTAATGTGCGGTGGCAAGTGCATAGTAATTTCACCGTGTATGTGTGTATGTAAGAGTGTGTATATGTATGTGTTTAGTCTTGCTAACTGTGTGAATGGCGCAGAGTGCATGAATGATTCTCGGTTCTACATTGCGCTTAGTCGTAAGCTGCCTCTGTATGTACGTGTGTGTGTATAGTGGCATTTATTTTTGCAGTTGTATTTGTAAATCCAGCGCAATGTGCGCATGCATAGCAAAAATGCATAGAAGTCAATTGAAAAGTTACTTTTGCAACATTGAAGTATTTATTGTTGGCATAGAGATACAAGCGCAGCATCCTTGTGCAACATGTTGCTGGTTGCCAGTATATAATACATATATACAAAAATGTTGCATCTATATATGGATATGTGTGTGTAAATGTGCTTGCAATGAAAAATGCAGCAGCAAGAGTAACTAAATATGTATATAACGGTAATATGAAGACTTGCCACTACCCTCATACGTAGACGCAGCCTTGAAAAACTTTTCATCACACATACATATACGTAAGTATGTACGGCCACGTCAGCTTTATAAAAGTCCGCTTTGTTGTTAGTGTTGTTGTTCGTTGCTCTAGTTGCCAACACTATAATTTTCTTTGTTGTTGTCTGAGCCACTATTATGCCTGTTGTGAAAACTTTCACTATTTTAATTGCTATTTTATTGCACTCCACAAACTATATGGAGTCAGTGGCCACATACAGGAGCAATGTCGGTGGGTAAATATAAAAATAAAAAAAAATCTGCAACTTTGCAAAACATCTTATCATCATAGTTGCCACCTTTCATTATTTCAAGGAATTTTATATGAAACGTTACTCATAATAACAGATTTGAAGCTTTCTCACAAAGGAATTTTGTTATTTTTAGGCATAATTAATTTTACAGTGTTGCCACTTAATATAATTATATCAGTGTCATTAATGTATTCATATATGTATATGTATATGCATTTGAAGCTAAAACTAATCAAATAAATAAATTTTTTGCAAACAGAGTTGCCACATGTTTACGTAAACACGAAAGAAAATTACATATATATGTTGCAACCTCTTCAAGAAAATAAAAAACCAATATGTTGCTAATTTGATTTGAAAAAATTTTAATTTTGATTGCAATAAAGTTGCCACATGAAAAAATATTTAAAAATACATATATACAAAAAAAAAAAAATATTTACATAAAATTAATTTCTTGATTTGATAATGGTTAAGTTAAAAGTTTCAAAGCTGTTATAACTGAGTCTAACAATTTTTATTGTATTTTTTATATAAAATATCTTTCAATTTAGATATGATATACATATAATTATTATTCCTTACTGTACGAAAGTTAACAGTTTGTGAGCTTTCAGAAATTTATTTATTATATTTACATTATAATGTTTTAAAAGCTTTCGTATCAGTGTAATAATGTATATATATCGGTTTTTAGAAAGCCCACTTTTTTAGCAGAGTAATAAGAGCTTTCGCGAATATTCAGCAATAAATTAAGAAAAACTCCTATTAGAAAGTTTTATGTTTCAACATTTCCGAAATATTATAAAAAAAATCATCGCTTCAAACTTAAGACATTTTTCACCTCTGCTTAAAAGCCCCGACGCTTATTTCAAATTGGAAATGTGAATAAATGAGTATATAATTTTTCGCGTTTTCGTACAATATGTACTGTTTTTTATATTATGAAAGTTACCAGTTTCAGAGCTTACACAAAACTTTCATGTTCCAATATTTGAAAAGCTTTTTTATCAGTTCTATAATGTTTTTTGTTTTTCAAACACGTACTTTTAAAGGTGAGTAAGAAAAGCTTTCTAGAATATTCAACAAAAAATAGTGAAAGCTCTTATTAGGAAATTTAGATTTCAATGCTTTCGAAATATTATAAAATCAAAAAAAAAAATCGCTTAAAACTTAGAATTTTTCTCACCTCTACTTAAAAGATCAAAAGCTTTCATTTCAAAAATGTTTATTCTTGACTTTTTATTCCTATCTTTTATCACACATTTTTGATTTACCTACATTATACCCAACTATTCAATTGAAGCGTTTGCTAATTTCAATAGAATAGACGCACCCAAAGCCAAGGTAGCCAAGGGAGCTTCAAACGAACTACAAAGCAACAAAGTTCTACTTATGTAGATCCTCATAAATAAAATCAAAGCACGTTCCAAGTAATCTACATACACACTCTAACCAAGTTTTGATTGACTACAAATCGCTCGTCTGACTGCATTGCGACGCATTGAGTGGCCGACGGAACGTCTTGGTCACATTGCGAAAGCGACTTGGCAGCTTTAACGTCGTGTAAGAACCACAGGTGATTATGACAGCCAAACAATACGAGATGGGTCTGGAGAGGGTGGTGAAAACGAGCCAAAGCAATGCATTCGCAGACTATACGACAGACAAGTAGACAGCTGGAAGCAAGCAGGCCGGTCGGTTGATAAGCAGGTAAATGTATAAATAGAAATTACGATTGCGAGACGACGGAGGCTCAACACCTGACAACTACATAAAATAAGCAATTGCCTTCTGTGAAATTGGCACCACAAAGTAAATGGTGAAAACTATGCTTGTGAGACAACAACGTCAGGATAGACAAAAAAAAAAACAAAAGACATAACTTGCAACATCAGCTGCGACTCAGTTTCGAGTACGACTTTGAGACTGAATTCGTATAGTTGGCTGAGACAAACACGCCTGCAATGGAACACATAGCTTAGACATGCAGACGACGATTGTTTGCTAAGATAGATACCTCAACGTGTCTACAAATTGTTGTGTGTTATGCATGGCAAAGTGAGCGGCGGAAGGTTCGCAAGGAGCCAGGGAATTCGCAAAAGAAACATATGGCACTGTGTTAGGTGTCAGAGGTCAACACATGTCGAATGCGCGCGCGAGTTGAGGAAATAACGAGCTTGAAGACAATAAGCAGGCAGGCAGAAAGGCACAGATTGTGGTAGTGAGGCAATAAAGCAGAGAATGGGAAAAATTATTTTTTTTTTGATTGTAGTCAAATTTTTGAACTATTCTACGAACATTTGTAAGCTTTTGACTTTTTTATACACTTTTAATTGACGTGATATTTTCACAAAATTTGGCATAGTTAATTTTTCAAAACAGCGCTTCAGTGTCCGAAGAAATTGTTGAGATCGGACCACTGTCGAACTCAAGTTCCTATATGGAAAACTCTTTCTTTGCAAGGTATCTTCACGAAATTTTGCATGAATTATTGTACAAAGCAACGGTAAAATCTACGAAAAAATTACTAAGATCGGAATACTATAGTATATAGCTGCCATACCAAGTGAGCGATCAAAATCAAGTTTTTGTATGGAAAGCTTTTTTATTTGACAAGATATCTTCACGAAATTCGACATAGGTTAATGTCCAAAGCAATGCTGTAATCACCAAGAATATTGTTTAGATGGGACCACTATAACATATAGCTGCCATACCAAGTGAGCGATCAAGGTAAGACCTTTTTATATGTTATTATGCTATGGATAAGCACTTATGAGGGGTATTAAGCTTCTGTGCAGCCAAAGTTAACGTTTTTATATTATTATAGGTATATTTACTGCTTTCTAGAAATTATAAGATATTTAATATTTCTTCTTGATTGTAGTTGAGTAAAAATTCCACAATTTTGTAAAATTTTCTTTCTGTTTTAACTGTTTTTGCATATTTATATTTTTTATTATTTCAAAAATATTTTATGATTTTGTGACCGTATACCACTTAAAACAGGGAATCACATTAGTCCTTCCTTCCATTATTAAATTTTATTATTATTTCTTTGTTTCTATTTTTGTTGTTTTTACATATTTTCGCTTTTTGTTTTTGTTTTTATTTTGTTTTCCTTTTCAAACA